TTTTTTTTTTCCACTGCTACTCCTGGGACCTTGAGGGACAGATAGAATGACCTTCCATTTCCAGTTAAGAAACTGATGCTGGGCTGGGGGGTGCAGCTAACGTGGTGGAGCACTTGCCTGGCATCATGAAGCCACAAACAAACAACAACAAAACACTGATGCTCAGAGACCCTGGCTCTTTTCATTTCTGGTTTGTCATGTTGTCTTCAGAGCCAGAGAACTTGAGAGGTTGAGGCAAGGTCATGGAAAAGGTGGAGAGGGAGGCCGGAAGTCTGTAAATGCGTGAAGGGGCCAAAGTAGGGGACCACTCAGGGGACCCTTATCGAGAGCTAAGAGCTGTGAACCAGTAGGCTTGTTTTGGCTGGGGGCCTGTGTCTGACAAACTTGGGGATTGGATACCCAGTGCTGGGGATGGATTCCAGGGCCTCATACATGCCAGGTGAGTGCTCTGCCACTGAACTACATCGCTAGCCCTGGATTTAGTCTGATTCATTTCATAGAAAATGATGGTAATAAACCCTAGTTAGTAGTGTCTACTGAAAATTAAAGGAAATAATTTAGTGGAAATTGCCCAACCTATCTGTTTATCTTGTTGTAGTCATGGTGTTGGTTTTGGACTTTATTTTATAAACAGTGGGAACCACTGAAATCTCTGGCAGGGAGGTGGGTTGACTCAGTGAGGTGTCCTGAACACTAACAGGACAGTGTGTGTGTGTTCCCAGTGGTGTAGAAGTCTGGCCTGGTGCCTGTTTTCTGCAGTGGCAAGGACTGATCATTGAAAGGAAGAGTGACAGAAAGAGATTTCAAAGGAGAAATCCATGGACTTGGTGATGGGCTGGTTGTGGGAGGGAGACATGGCACCTCACTTTGTTTGGTGGTATTTTTAGGACTCAGTTTACACTGGTTCACTGGTGTGTTCTTGCCTTGCAGGAGCCTGTGTGAAATGCAGCAAAGGGGTCTTTGGGGCTGGCCAGGCCTGCCAGGCCATGGGGAACCTGTACCATGACGCATGCTTCACCTGTGCCGCCTGCAGTAAGTGTGGGGCGCTTGGGGGGAGGGGTAAGGGACACGCGGTTAGAGAAGGTGGGGATGGGGAAGATCATGGGATGGAAGCCAGGGCCCCCTGCATGCTAGGCAATGTCCTTGAGAGCAGGAATTCCTAATCACCCACACAAAGCCATCAGAGTAAGATTGACTTATCACAAAGTACTCAAGATTGCCTGAGGATGAGTTGAGTGGGTTCAGAGTGGTCCCTGACAATGTATGCTGAACGATTGATTCTCAGGGCATACCCCATTGTCAGTTTTGCCTCCTGCTGTGGGGAACACCCAGAAAGCCACTAATCAGTTCGCAGACCCAGTGTGAGCCGGCCACTTCTTTGACCCCAGTGTTTGATTTGAAAGCTACTGTGAGCATGAGTGCGTGGGGTGTGAGTGTGAAGTCCCAATCATCATGCTCGCCTGAAGCCATCAGTATGCACCAAGTCAGGAGACTTGGAGTGAGTTCCTGGCAGCTGCTGGCAGTGGGCGTGGCAGCCCTGCAGGATGTTTGCCACATCTGAGACCAACTCATGAATTGTGCTTGCTTTTTGGTTGCTTCCAAAGATTAATTTTTAGGAGTGATTTTGGAAAATGCCCCACTGATGTTTTCCAAATCTATGTTGAGATTAGCAGTTCTCAGTTAAAAGGAATCATTACTGCAAAAGCCACAGAGTATCAAGGACGAAGGGGTCTTTCCTACCCCATTTGGCCTGGAGTGTCTCAATCCTGACAGCTCATTAGGATCACTAGAGGAGTTGTTTTGTTTTGTTTTTTTCCTTTTTGCTCTATTGGGGTTTGAACTCAGGGCCTCACGCTTGCGAGGTTTCCTAGGCAGGCACGCTACCACTTGAGCCATTCTGCAGCCCTTTTTGTGATGGGTATTTTCAAGACAGGGTCTCATGAACTATTTGCCTGGGCTGGCTTCAAACTGCCATCCTCCTGATCCTGAATAGCTAGGATTACAGGCGTGAGCCACTGGCACCTGGCACCAGGGGAGATTTTAAAACAGGGAGAATCAGGAAGCTCTAAGGGTGAAATTTCTAGAGTGGGCCAGGCATATTTTCCAAAGCTCTGCAGGTACCTCCAAGTACCTGGTCATAGCTGAGTGCCACTGGTTCAGTACCAGGTGTCTCATTTCAGAAGCCTCCTAGGAAAGGGAAACATATGGGCCTTCCCTGTCTCTTAACCTGCCAGGCCTGATGGATCCTGGAATAAGCCTGAACTCTCAGCCCCGCGGGTCAGCCCTGATGCCTGAGAGTTTGTGTCTTGATCAGTGTTCACCATTGTAGGGGAAAATTGGACAAGACTTTGAAGTGGATCAGGAAGTCTACTGTGTGACTTAGTGGAGATGTGTGAGGTGTCCTTCTCGGGCCTTTCCTTGTCTTACACTCTCGGTTGCAGAATGCTGACAGCAGCACGCATGAGTCGTCCACTGCATTGAGGTGCAGGTGGTTATTGCTGCCCTATGGAGAGGGACTGCTTTGCATCTATTAAGCAAATTTATTTCAGCAGTCCTGATGGCCCGTAAATGGTCTGCATATTCTCCCAGTTGCAAAATCTTATTGGTTTGCTCAAATGATAAGTTAATTTTTGTGTGTGTGGTACTAGGGTTTGAATTCAGGGTCTTCACTTGCTATGCAGGTGCTCTACCACTTGAACCATACTCCAGGCCCTCTTTGCTTAAGTTATTTTTTAGGTAAGGCCTTGAATTTTTTGCTTGGTCTGGCCTGGATCATGATCTTTCTAGTTACACCTCCAGTGTAGCTAGGATTACAGGCACAAACCACCATACCCAGTTTTTTGATTTTCTTTTGTTGTTGTTAAGATGGGGGGGTCTCACTAACTTGGAATTACAGATTTGAGCCAAATAAAATCTTTGACATATACCTTGTGGTTTATGTGTTTGGAAGTTGTAATTAGATTGTCCTTGAAAATTTATGTTTGTCTTTGACTTTTGACTCCTCCGTTTCTCAATATTTGTTATATTTACTGGGACAAAACCACAAATAGTAGTTAGAGGCTGTTTTTCACCTCAAGCAGTTAGTTATCATTTGAACTAGGGAAGCTGTCGGGGGAGGAGTATCTCAGACCCTGGGGCTGGTGTAACAGAGCACCATAGCCTGAGCAGCTTGTAAACCACAGACGTTTATTCCTTCCAGTTCTGGAGGCTGGGAAGGCCAAGCTCAAGGGGCCAGCAGATGGAGCATGTGAGTAAGGCCTGCCTCCTGGCTCACAGAGGGTGCCTTCCCCCAGTCCTCACAGACGGGCAGGAAGCTGTGTGGATGCTGGTCCCATTCACAAGGACTCTAGTCCTGGAGGCCCTGCATTCTCATACCATCACCCGCCTGGGAGGCACCTGGGAGGATGGGCTTTCAACATAGGAGTTTTAGGTGAGGGCCCAGGCAGTCATCCATTGCAGATGACAACTGATTCCACCTGCAGCTGCACTGAGTTTCTCTTGCTTCAGATTGTGGCAACACAGGTGTTCAAGGACAGAGCTGGCGGGTTTTCTTGGGCTAGCAAGAAAAATGTCCCTGTTTGTGATCTGGTCCCTGTCTTGTCACTTCCTTCTTCCCATCACCACCAAACCCAATCTGTGCGTCCCATTTCTGCTTCTGTCCACACCACCTGGAACCTTCTTTCCTCACTCACTTCTTACATTTGAAATCAGCCCTGCCCAAAGGCCCAGCTCCAACATTGCCTGTTTAGGCAGCCTTCCCTGTCCCCTGTAGGGAGGAGCCTTTGCTCCTGAACTTGTCTGCTTGATGGTGTCGTCATGCAAACTGTAAACTGCACACCTTGTGGCTCCAGGGCCAGCAAACCTGGCGCTAGTACAGAGCTGCTGAAGGACCCAGGTCCTGGGCTCTGTCAGTGCCTAAGCGCAGTGGCCTGCTGTGTGCACACTCCCTCGCTGTCACTGTCCCACCTCTTCTCCAGTGCAGGGGACATCCAGCGTGCTGGAGAGCCAGGAATGTGCCAGGGCAGCTTCTGTTGGTACGAGAAGTGATTTGCCTTTGTTCAGTTAACTTATTGCTGCCCTGTAGCTCAGCTTCCAACAGAAGGACGCGCCTGATGCTTCATGTTCTGGCCCTGCAGGTCCTTGGGAACCTGTCTTGGTGAGCCTCAGTGCCATGGAGATGACACAGTGGGGGCTGTGGTGCATCCTGTCCACCCCTGTTAGAAAGTGGGGACAGCGAGTGGGGGAGAAATTCTTGAGGTCCAAACCTGGCAATCAGCTGGCACTGGTATCCAGAGCTTCTGACTCCACATTCACCTTTACTTCCTCCTTTTTCTTTTTCTTTTTTTTGATGTCAGGGATCAAACCCAGGGCTTTTCACATGCTAGGCAAACCTTTGCCACTGAGTTACACTCTTAGCTCCTGCAGATCTATGTATGGTATGTAAATCTAGATTACAGCTAGATATATATGGTACATGTAAGATGCTCACAGCTTCTTGAATTTTACTGCATTAAAATCCTATGTTGGGATGGTGTCAAGCTCACACACACTTTTTCTTTTTTTTTTTTGGCAGTGCTGGGGTTTGAACTCAGGTCCTTGCACTTATTAGGCAGGTGCTCTACCACTTGAGCCATGCTCCCAGCCCCCTACACACTTTGAAGGCCACTCCGACTGGTTTAACTAGTGAAGATACAAAAGCCTCTTTTAGGGTCAAATAGTGCTGTGTTCTGGGCATTTGTCACTTCCAAAACCCACGTTGATGTTTAACCCACAAAGTCATGTGTTGCTGGTATTTGGAGGTGGGGTCTTTGGGAGGTCATGGGAGTGGGGCCCCCATGATTGCATTAGTGGCTTTATAAGAAGAATAGGAGAGATGTGAGCTGATTTGTGGTCCTCTGTCTTGCCGTGTTTCGTCCTATGCTGCCTAGGGACCCACAGAGTTCTTAATAGCAAGAAGGCCCTCACCATATATGGCCCTTCTACCCCGGACCTCCAGAACTGTGAGCTGAAGAAACTTTTGTTCTTTGTAAGCTATTCAGTCTGTGCTACTTAGTTATAGCTACAAACTAAGACACATAGGCAGCAAAGAGAAGAATTGAGAAAGGTGCTGGCTTCCTGGGTCCTTGTCCTGCATATCATAGGAATGACCCAAATGAAAGGGGCCAGATGACTGCAGTGCAAGTTAGGGGACCCTGAGAAACAATTCCAGACAGTCACTAAGTGGCCTCAGAGGCCACGGCTCCATTCTGAGGGGCAGGCAGGAAGCCATGCCTCCTTAGAGATGAGAAGTTGGGGACACTTTCCCTCCTACCCCTTTTTGTGTTTTGGAAGGCTACAGGGGTGTTACACCAAGACACAGGCAACCTTTTACCCGAGTTCCCCTACACAGATACACACGCCTCCTTCCCCCATCACTGACAAGAAACAGCCATGGTTAGTTCATTTTTAGCTGTGAGAACTGCACGATCCCCACAAAGACAAATTAAAAGACAGAAACCTGCTGAGTTGGGACTGTAGATAGGTATTTTCACTGTTCTGTTTTTCCTTCCAGTTTTTCTCCAAATTTACACCTATTTTTTTGTTTTTAGAATTTTGACTATAGTGTATCAACAGTGTGTCCTGTGGCATATACTCCTAACTGTGAGGACTGTGACAGGATTGTGGACACAGTCTTAGGGCATTTAGCTGGTATCAGGTTTGTGAGTCATCACAGACCTGAGAGAATGACTTCTTGTTCTTGCTTCTTTTTTTTCCTCTGCTGAACCGTTTGCTTAGCACTCCTTCCCAGAAGGAAGCATTCAGGGCCCAACACGGGGGCGTCTGTGTGGTTTGTTCAACTTCTCTTCTTTCCAGACATGCTCCTTGGGTCTAGAGTGTTTGGTTGCTATGGAGATATGGGCTGTGGGGCTCCCTTCTCCTTCCTCAGGCCCTGCCCATCTGAGGCAGCCATGACCCCAACTGGATGCTCACTGGACGCTGTTGGCACAGTGTGGATGGAAGCCAGGAATGGACTCGGCCAATGGTGACAGACA